CGTTTTTTCTGGTGTCAGCACGGGACCATAAATTTACGTAGAACATTTTTGCCTTTTTTTTGCGCTGAAAAACACATTGACTTAGAAATTCTTGCAAAATTCTGAGAATTTTAATGAAAATTTCCAGACTTGTTTACAAATGAATAAATATGTTTTTGAATCTGTTACTCCTCTACACACTCATTTAATTTTATATATTTTTTTTTAAATTCCTATTTGTAGACCTTAACGTTTATATTACTTCCTATTTGTAGACCTTAACGTTTATATTACTATATCGAGTATTTTAAAAGGAATTTTGAATTTATTTCTTGTGTGTATAAACGTATTGTTTTTTGTAAATATGGACATCCATACACAGCATTATCAAAAAATAAAGTCTGTTACGATAGTATATTTAAAATTTATTGGGAATTTTTATAACTTTTTCTCAAAAAAGTTATCATAAAAAATGCGTTTATGTTGTATTTGTCATAATTTTATTAAAAAACAAATAGTTGAAATGTTTTAAATTCACAGAAACACATATACATACTTAACCCGTTGAAGATGGCCACAGATGAGATTGAAAGTACTTGGGAAAATAAAAACTATTCGAAAGAAAATTTTGGTATTTTTCTCACTCAATTTTCAAAGTCTACAAAAATTTAATCTTGAAAGGATCACAACGAAAACTAAACGACATGATATGTCTAAATTATTTAACCAAACCTGATGAATGAAAATATGCTGTCTAAATATACACAATATATATATATATATATATATATATATATATATATATATAATAAAAAGGCTCAAACACTAATATTCCATGCTTATAATTTATTACATTGGAATCGTAATTCCGATCCAATTCATAAGACCTATAAATTCAAAAATTGAATTTGTTGTTCTGATGAATTGGATCGTGATCACGATTCCAATGTAATAACTTATAAGCATGGAATATTAGTGTTTGAGCCTTTTATATTATATTCTTACTCTGTCCTAGACATTGAGTTCTACCTGGATTCTATCCTCTTGGACATTTATATATATATATATATATATGTGTGTGTGTGTGTGTGTGTGTGTGTGTGTGTGTGTGTGTGTGTGTGTGTGTGTGTGTGTGTATAATGGCCACTAATATTATCTCTATATGCATCTGTGTGTAGGGGTGTGTTGAATGTTACAGACCAAGAGAATCTTGAAATATGGTTCATCTGCCCCAGGGCAGATACTACACTTTTATCCCAGCGAAATGGACGAGAAGCGCTTGTATTTCTTTTTCTTGCCCGACGCTGGCAGAACATGAGACAATGTCAGTTTAATGTAGGGAGACGGAGCGCGTACCCCCGGGCCAGGTACCAAAATGAGAGAGGCAGCTATTTCCCCTAACCGGCACCTCTCAATAATATTTTCAGTTACTCTCTGTCCGCAGAGACACAACTAAGAAATGAAATGTAGTTTATCCGCCCCTGGGGGAGGGTAGATACTGCCTTTTGATCCATGCCATAAGGCCGAGATCCGATGGAGACCGCGATATAACGGCATTTTTCAGGTGCACAGGATTGAACGACGGAAATCGAGTAATAAGTAAATCGTCAAAAAAATCCAGTTATCATAACATCATCTGTTGGATTATTTTTATATTATTATTAAGAGAAATGTTCGTAAGACGGGGTATGTCTAGTTTACAATAAATATACATATGAGTAACAGATGATCACGCAAACAGATGGAACACAAGGGCGGGGTTTTAATGTGTGTATGAGCAGTGGAAAAAGCTGCTCATTCCTCTTGGCTATTGCCGAAAAGACAGGACGATGTACCCCACCGATTTTAATAAAACGAGGTGGTACTGCGGGAATCTCCAGGCACCAGGCATGGAAGTTGTTCGATGCCAAGAACAAGGTGCGTATGAATTTGCGTCCCAGCAAAAGCAAATCTAGCAAATGTCCGATTTGATGCAGGATAATTACATACATTATTTGCGTGTGTGTGTTCAAAAACTGCCCATATAGAATAGCTTTTGCCGTAGGCGTTTGGGTGTAGCTTTGACCAGCCACGTTAATGCAAGGAGGAAGTTCTTTCTGAAAGGCATACTCTGTCTTGTTTCAATACAAGAAAAAAACTGATCCCAAACCCGATAAATTGAGAGTCGAAGTTATCCAATGATTAACGAGTTAATTGTTGACCATTACTATTAAATATTGATTTTCATTTTCACAAAAATGTGGCCTTGTGTTAAAATAAGCTAAGTAAATAATAACACTTTGTCTGAATTTCTGGAATGAGGAGTTATCATGATTTATCATTATCATATCATTTTTTACACTATTTATATTAAGATTATAGCTTGTTACGCAGTTGTTTTGATAAAATCAGTACAAAATGACTTTTATAAGCAGGCCATAATGAAACCAATAAAACAATTATTTTGTTTGCTGATCTAGTGGTTGTGAGTTCAATCTTTGGGTCGGACAGTGAATACATTCAGTGGATACGGGCGAGCAATTCCTGAACAGTACTAAATAAAATATGAACAAGACGGTATCT